TTTCAACCTGCAATTGATCACTTTATGTGAAACACACATAAAGTTTTCTCTGAATAATTTTCAATAATTTACTTTTTAATAGCCGGAATAAAAAAGCAAGCGACTGAAATTGAACGATTCAAATAATTTACAAATCAAAATATTGAAAAATAAAACAAACAAAAAATTAAAAAAAATTAATGGAAAAGAGTTACTTTTTGGAACTATCAAATTTTCCGACTTTCCTCATGAAAAGCATATATTTTTTTCTACTTCTGAACCTTCCCGGATCCACAGCGAACTACATCCGAAAMTTTCATCAAGATTGGTTYTCCAGCATTAGCGTTACAAACAAACAAAYATTCATTCGTTTGTATGGAAAAAAGAAAAGGGCTGTCTTTAGGGGCTTTTTGACAGGTATTCGAATTTTTCTTGCCGTAAAAACATTTTTGAATCTCACAGTTGGAAGATATACAGTACAACAAAAATGTCGACTTTTCTATGCATAATACAAATAAAAATTTTTTGAATAACCCCACGCACTATTAGTCATAAATAATTAATTATTATAATAAGAGTACACAATTTTTTTTACGACTATACTGTGTTCATGAGTTTTGTCTATGTCACGTAGGTGTGCAGCCATCCTGGACCCAATTAGCCCTGGGTGCACCATTTTGATACACAATCGTAAAATCTTTAAAATCTTGTTAAAATCAAATTTTTTRTCCGGTTTGTAATAGATCTGGGCATCAACAGAGAAAATGGAAAACACAGTAATAAAAAAATTCCTTGCTCCTGTGGCCAGTATTGCTAGAAGGCAAATCCATTTGTAGCTTTTCTCCGAAAGCCCAGTGGCCCGTTATAGTGACTGTAAGTCTGTATATAATAAGTACTTTGTTCTAGTCACGTCATAACTAGGTCATATCGGCTTTGTTAACTTGAATTTGGGCATAAAATTCCAACTCTTTGAGCTATTTGTTCAAAATTCGTATAGAACTCTCTTTTGATCGTCTCAGCGGGCATGGTATTTAATCCGCCTCGGATTCGTCTAAAGAGGTTCCTAGCTTGGCAAGTGGACAAGTGGCAGTCAGCTTAAGCTACATTTCTTGACTACGTGGGAATTAATCTGTGGTGCCGACGATGACCAGAAATGCCGCCTGCATTCTGATCCTTTGTAGTTATTCAATAGAACTCCACAGGCCTTATTTATAACTAGTGCTTCTGCTTGGAAGATTCTCGATGAGTTTGGTAGATCTATACAGAGATGCCAAAATCATTGTGGTCTACACCCGCCCCTACATCGCACTACAATTTGGATCCCTCGGTACAGATAGAGGAAGTATCCGCGCAATGTCAATTACCTGTATGTGATATATTCCAACAGCATGTATGGCAGCGTTGCTAAATACCGAAAATTCARTACCRAAAACCTTTYAAAACGGAGTTATTATTTTCTTGCAATGGCCTTAGGAGCAGCATAAATTACCAATTATTTATTGATACAGAAATTGTAATGATATACATTCAGAGTCGTAAACTTCAATCTTTGTAAGTTTCAAGTTTGGTAGTCTTTTTGGCATCCAGTTTCAACTACCTTTGTTCTAGAAAATTTATTTGAAACAAAATGTTTTATTATAACACAATTTTWGAAATATTTTACAAGATACGATACAAATGTTTTGAAAAATTATCAACTTACTGTTTGTTATTAACCATAAAGAATGCAATATGTTACATTTATTAACTTGAAAAAATAATTTTTCTTTGTTTCAGATAAGCTCAAGTACTACGTAATTATTTCGAAATTAATTACGTACATCCAAATGAAGAAATCAAGTCAATCGCAACAATAATTATGACCAGAAAATAAAGGGAAGCACTTTTGAAAAATATGAAAATAAATAAATGTGAAAAAGACGAAATGGCAATACTATTTACTAAAGCAATTGCTTCTCTGTTTCTGAAATATCTCTAAATGTGTACATATCTACGAACTAATATCGCCGAATACTTTAGCTAAAACATTAATTCATACATATGCACACAGCAAATGAAAAAATGCAAAGCAGAAGCAAAATAAAAAACTAACGGGAATTGTGTTAAAACGAAAATCGACGAAACGCCGACACACAGACCGAAATCTGTTTTAGCCGGATTTTCAACCGAATAATAAAACCAAAGACAAAAGCGGTTTCAAAAGAAAAAAACATCAATTGTTGAATGTTCGCCAGCAAAACAGATTTTTGCATTCGCTTAATCCAGAACTCTGCAATACTCATGGCAAAAGTAAGAGCATTCAACATAGCGGATACTGTTGTTCGACGCAGCAACGCTAGCACCGGCAAGTCCTTAGGCGCTGTGGCAGCTATCTCGCTCAAATGGATTCTCCTATGTTCCTGCTTCACAGTGTTCGGTAAATTTCAATTTTTTGTATTAAAAGAATATGCAAACTTGCACAAATTATAATGCGTTGCTCGTAGTTAGATGTTTATTAGATTTTTAATTACTTTTTAATTACTTGTAAGCATATAACATTTGTAGTCTTATTGTCTATTTACTTATGCATGTGTGCGCGCTTTGACATGGTGATTACCTGTCTCTTTAATCAAGCTAAAACATTTTTATAGAATTATGTTATATGCGTTTTCAACGCGCCCAAAGGGCTGGTATTAAAAATTGTTTACGAATGAGTATAGGTATAGCATAATTGTAGCTGTCGGCACAACAAGACCTCTATTTATGCACTTATACATATAAACCGGTTCAAATGTAATATAAACAAATGCGCAACATAACTCACGGATGTTTGCTGTATGTCAATAAAAAATAAGGCCATTAACTAACTACACTTCCATTTAGATTATTACACTCAGATGGTAATTTCATTTATGCATTGTTAAACTATACGTTTTTTCCAAACTKGGCTGAGGAAATTCAATTATCCAGTTTAAGCCAATCTGCCGACAGCGATAGCGGTGAATATATAGCGTAATTACATACATACATACATACGAAATGATTACCATGCAATTATTGGTATTTTTAAGGACGAAAAATTATTTATTTTCTCACAGGCTTCCGCTCGTATACAACAACAATAATAAATGGTATCAGTAATGGTATATATATGTTGCTAAGCTCTTTTCGGGATTTTGCTGTCGGCGGATGCCTTCTATGTGGTAATTGGTTTATGCATTGTGTGACACAAACCCAACCTAAAAGCATTTTTCTGTTCATTATGTTCCTTTAAGTAAAACAGAAAAKCTGCGGTGTATAGGCCAMAATGCCACGTCTTTGACACCGTCTTCCCTTTTAACGATAATTTGAATTATTAAAATTGCAAAAAGACTAAATYTAACAAAATTTGATATTGCACAAACCACTGAACCATCCCAGTTTGATTTGTAACACGCCCACTGCGTATCTTTGTCTCTTGATACATTTTTAAAAACGCTGAAATCGGATTAGTACCAAGCCTTCCAGTGTTAAAAGTATTAAACTAAATGCTAAATAGGGACGGAATCGGTCATAATCTCTTCAAATATCCATTATACACGTTCAAATGCTATCCGTTACTATGCGTCCCTTTCAACTATATACGAGGTGTGTTCAAAAAGTATCGCGAATTTTGTGTTTTTTCAAAAATTATTTATTTATTCATGAATATCTAATTGGTCCCATTCAAAGTAATCCCCATAAGATMTTATTCACTTGTRCCAACGGTTTTTCCAATCTTCGAAGCTTCAAAAAATTATTTTCTTTTATCTTCTTCAGCTCCTCCTTCGATGCCGTCTTTATATCGTCAAGAGAAGTGTAACGTCGTCCTTTCATGGGCCTCTTCAGTTTAGGGAATAAGAAAAAGGCACAGGGGGCCAGATCTGGGGAATACGGTCGCTGCGGCATCATTAGTGTGTTGTTTTTGGTCAAAAAGTCGCGCACAAGCAACGATGTGTGAGCAGGGGCGTTATCGTGGTGCAAAAGCCAATTTTTGTCACATCTTCTCGGCCTTCTGAGAA